AGCATAACCATCACTTCATTTTGTCTCGTAAAAGTATGGAAAGTAGTAAAAGGTAGGTAAATATGGGAAATGTCAGAAAATTCGTTGAATTTTTTTATAGAGTAAGGAAAACAAACGACTTCATTGACCATCTGGTAATAAGTGGATGGCATGTCTCATAGACATCTACATTTAATCAATCAAAATGCAGATGTGTATTATCATCTTGAAGACTGCGCCTTTTTACCAGTAAAAAGCTTCTTTACTAGTAATATGAATATCCGGTTCTATATACTCGCTATAAAAAACACAATTAGTCTGATGTTTTATGCTGTTGTTCTGTGAGAGTGTGGTCCCACCCGGTCGAAGCGATCCATTTGTGCTGCAACCGTATATCTAGCATAGTTGCAGCGTGACTCTACAAAAGCCTCTTTACCAGTAAAATGAAGATCCGGTTCTCTATATTCACCATAAGAAACACATTATTCTGACGTGTTACGCTGTTATTCTGTGAGATCGTGGTCCTACCCGGTCGAACCGACCCATTTCTGCGGCAAGTGTATATCTAGCGTAGCTGCGGCGTGGCTCTACTACAAAAAATATATATTATAGCTTTCGATAGACGGTGGTATAAACTTCTCATGTACGCCAGGCGTAAGAGATGGGGAGTATCATCAAGTGTACCAGATATCCAGTACTGCGATCGAAAATCTAGAATGTCAACGATTATGACAATTCTCCCTTCTGTCATAGCTGTTCTGGGTATTTTAAGTCTAGTGTAAACAAGATCAGAGATGGATTGGGGAGCCCCAGCCTAGAGATGAGCTGGGGCTCCCAGTGTCAGCTCCTTCCACTTGACCGCATCCAGCGCAGAGCGGCTCAGATCGTCGACGACCGAGTGCTTTCCGATCGACTCGATTCACTGGCGCTGCAAAGAGATGTTGCATCTCTTTGCATTTTACTTCGCATATACCATGGAGAGTGCTCTGAGGAATTGTTCTGATTAAACCCAGCCGTCAAATTTCATGCGAAACTGCCGATACTATCAACACCGTCTGGATGCTTGGCGGTCCACCACTGTACGTTTCACTAGTAGTTTTCTTCCGCGTACGACTTCTCTGTGGAATAGTTTACCACCTGCGATTTTTACAGACCGATACGACCTTCAAGAAAAGCGCTTAATCTTTTATAAAAAGCAAGCAACGCACCTACAATTCCCTGGTGTTGCAGTTGTACATGGGCGGCGGTAGTCACTTAACATCAGGTGAGCCGTTTGCTCGTTTGTCCCCTCTACTATAAAAAAGATGGTTATGTTTATCTATCTATTGGTAGAGATTTTTCAGGTGTTTCCTATAGTAGCTTCTCAGGAGACCCACCACAGTACGAAACGGGTACTTAGATTTTCTTACGCCGCCAATGCATGGCTAAAACATGGTTCTCTCATTACAACCTTTCAAAGTTCAACGCTGAACATAGGCCTCGCCATAGATTGCCTCATAAGGAGGATATTTGCCATAAATGCCACGCTTCGCCGGCGGGTTGGCCGCTATCCATCTCTTGGTCGGTTTCCCTCTGTCGCCTCTTACGACAGCACGGGACGATATGGGTCAGTGGATATTCATACACCACACATGGTACATAATCATGACGGGAGAATAAATTTCGAATTAGTAGGGCATGCCCGTAGTGACAGCGCAGCGGGATGGGAACTCTCACAATCTTACTTTCATCGCGCGCCCTCACGACGCGACCCGGCTTTGTTACAACATGGCTTCGAGCAACATGACTCTTCAGTGTCATCACTTAGCATTGAGATCGAGACGAATTTGTTTTACATGGTGATAAATATAGCAACACTAAAGGCTAATAATTTTCGCGAACACTATACATTGAATAAAACTATTTTTAAGGATAAAAATAAGTAACACGAAAGGCATATATTAGGTAGTCATGTAATTAATTAAATCTTAAGTTAACTTTATAAGACTTAATTTTAATTAATTATTACATTATTAAAATAATACTAGTTTTTACGGAATTTATCGCGTATATTTTAACTTTTTAAATACCCGACGTTTCGAACGCTTTACAGCACTCATGGTCACGGGCAGGACTGAGATGTTCAACGTCCATATGTCATAGTTAACCGCGGTTACCATAGATTAAAATTTAACTTTTGTTCCGATCTATGCAGTATGAACTTATGGTATCTTGAAGTCTTGCAGTTGTATGCTTGGGTTGGGATTTAAAACACAGCAGCGTAAAATAGCAGCTCAACGCTGCTATTTTACGCTGCTGTGTTTCGTATGGTGAGTGTCTATATACACGCAACCAGAGACCCTTTTTAGTCTTCAGGGGTGACAACGCATCAGCATTTTGATTCTTGATCTTGAGGATAGGATGTAGATGTCTATGGGCTACGGCACCTAGTTATAATCAGGTGAACTGTGTGTTTGTTTGTCACCCTTACATTATTTAAAAAAATCTATGAGGAAATTTATAGAGAGGGTCCTTGTTCATTAGCGGACTTTTGACAGGCGGTAATAGTAATTTTTATTTATTAAAGTTCAAATCTGAAGTACTTTCTATATTTAAAACACAGCTTTTTCATTCCAACCGGATGTAGAATCGTGTGTTAATGTTAAAATTGACTACGAAATAAGACGATAGAAATTATTTGAATCGTTTTTGCACAGAGATAACTAATCAAAATTATGTGTATTAATTTAAAACGGCTTAATTTTATTTATGTGCTCGTAGTTTGGTGAATAATTTCCCACAAGTTACTATTATGAACAATGTGAGATGTTAGAATGATATATACTCACGATAAGCAGATTATCATCGGCAAAACATGTTGATAATATCGCTGTTAGCATTATAAAGTTAGAGTACTTGAACTTATAATGTAAGCATTAGTACCACCCCAAATACCCCCCCCCCATGGGTGTCGTAAGATGCGATGGAGGGAATCTGAAATAGAATGTGGAGAGCAGCATCCTGATTAGAACTAAAAATAATATATCCGCGGTTGCCAACCCGCCTCTCGTTCTCTCAAGCGCGGCAATTATGGCAAAATCTACCCTTGGAAACAATCTATGGGAAAGGCCTATATATAAACTTGAATAAAAGTGTAGTAATAGTTTTTATTATTTTTTATTGCGTTTACTTACTTTTTTTATATTCCTAACGTTTGGAAAATTTTACAGTACTCATGGTCACGGGGGCACTGAGGTGTATGACGTCCCAATGTTACAGTTAACCATGGCTACCTTCACTTATATTATTAATTTTTGGTCCGATCTACGCAGAAAGAACTTGTAGTATCTTGAAGTTTTGCAATGATATGATAAGAAATCATTAAGCGAAGGCCTACGATATTTAACAGAGAACTTTTATAGACTCTAATGGAATTTATTTCTATTTGAAAAACTTGAAACTTTTGCGTTATAACAACTCTGGTGTTGGTAAAACTAAAATGATAAACGTACTAACGGTCCACCTGATGGTAAGACATCCAAAAATCAAAAAAAAATATATATATATATATATACACATATCTTTAACAAGTACTCAGGTATAATTATAATAGTAATAATGTCCTCCAGACCAAATTTCAATCACGGGGAGCCAGTCCTCGACGGTGCAGATGCACGGGACAGCTTCACAGGAATAAAACCAACTTCAAACAAAGAAGCTTAGAGTTGCATTTTCACTCCTTAGGACTAAGATGGAATACCTCACATCCCGTAATTATACTGGTTCTGTATACCTTCCGTGCCGTGGTAGCTCAGGGGGCTAAGTGCTCGCTGTAAATTTCATAGTACCTCGAACAAATAACATTGGTGCTGAAATTGGTCGTCCTTAGCTGACTAGAACTGGCAAATGGCAACTTGGTAGGACTCGACGGCGGTTATTTTCAAATGTTTTCGAATTAGACGATTCTGATAAAAGACGTCAAAGCGCATCAAGTGCTATTCATCGATCAGATTATTCAATAGCCATAGAATCATCTAATCGGTGATGAGTATCTGATCTATCGGTGGATGAGGAGGAACATTGCAGGTGAAACAGCTTCCAATCGATTGTATCGATATTCCGGTATATATATTATGACTGCCTCGTTGGTCTGGTAGTTGTAGACGCAATTGCTGATTATGAGGTCCCGGACTCGAATTCCGGATCGAGCCAATATCAGTTTGCGGCGGCGCTGTCGTCGCTCCACATGCGGAACACATCGAAGCCTAAATCGCGCTATCAAAGTTCCGAAACAAAAACAGTATATATAGAATAGTTCCGAACTACCAGCACTGTGCTGTGAGCATTCACCGCCTCCCTCCCCCGATTTCCGGAGAAAAAAAAACTGCCAGCACCCGGAGCGTTAGCCGTTCCCCGGGCCGATCATCTTGCCCGGCGAGAGATCTGCCCTTTTCCTTCCACAGCCACAAGTTAGTGGGTTTTCCTGTCAAGAAATTCTTAGTAGCGGTCCAGAGTCAAGAATATGGCGGTGTTTCACACACCCTCGTGCCTCAGAAAGCACGTAAAGCCTTTGGTCTGTCTGATCTCATTCCGATCGTGTTGAATTACCGTCTCATCAGACTATGAGAGTAAGGGATTAGAGATTGCACCTGTCCTTGCGCATATACTTGGGCACTATAATCCTGTCTTGCTGTCCCGTGCATCTGCACCGTTGAAGACAGGCTCCCGTGATTGAAATTCGGTCTGGAGGACATTATTACTACTATAATTATACCTAAGTACTAGTCTACTTGACTGTCTCGTTGATCTTAGTGGGTCATTAGTGCGACTGTTAATCATGTGGTCGTGGGTTCAAGTCCCGGATCGGAGCAAATCAGTTCTTGGGTTTTTCTGCCGAGAAATTCTCTATAACTAACTAAAAAAGCCCGACAAAACTGTACACTATTGCCTAAATTTAGTCTGGAGGACATTGTTATCACTATTACTGACAGAAATCATTAGTTTAAACTTGTATAAATATTATGTAAAAATTATGTTGAGCGTCAATCCGCCCATTCAGAACATTGAATGAACCGCAAATCAATATTTGCGTATTCATACGTTATTTCAAACATGGCTTCTGAAGGTTCCTCAAAGGTGTCGAGGTCATTTCGAACATTTGACATGCTAACGCCCGTCTGTTGTAGCTTATTGTTTAATGTACGTACATCGTATACGTGTTTAGACTTTTGATTGCGGTAGTCTGCCCACATGACGGTTTGTTTGGTATTATGACAGTACTGGAGCTTGTTTTTTCATCGTAAAGATCAAACGAAAAAAAAATTAAACTTTTTTAATATGAAACATACTCAGTAGTATGATACAATGAAATGTGTTGGGGACATTGAGATATTATGTACTACGTACAGTACATATTACTTCAATGGTTGGGGATTAAGTTTTACTGAAAAATATTTAGATAATAAATAGTTATATATATATATATATATATATATATATATATAGTTACAATTTAGTTTCAATACACTTTATCTTTTTCATATCGTAAATAAATCTTTAATCATCACAATTAATACGATTATTCATATTAATCGATACGAAAAAAATCCTCCAAGGTGTTTTATATATATAAATATATATATATATATATATATAAAAAATAAATATATATATATATATATATATATATACCCGGCTTGCTACTGCAGCAGCTGCAGAAGGAATAATTATCGAAATATCATTTTAAATTTGGAAGAGTTATATTGTTACCTAGGAATGATAATGATAATGATATATAACTTTCAAATAAATCGCGGTACGATACGCGCACCTGTAACCTTTCTTAATTAGTAGTTTTTGAGTTATTATTGATTGACATGAAGTTCTTATTTTATTTATATTGATGTCCGTTTTTTTCTAGAATAAGGGTGACAAACGAGTCAGTACAGTCCATATGATGGTAAGCGAAGGCTGTGTGATTAAGAATCAAAATGCAGATGCGTTGTCACCCTTGAGGACTAAGATGGAATGCCTCGTTTCCAGTAAAACGGGTCTCCGGTTATTTACACTCAACATACGAAACACAGCAATACTAAGCTGCTATTTCACGCTGGTATTCTGTGAGAGCGTGGTCCTTCCCCGGTCGAGCCGACCCATTCATGCTACAACTTACTATTGTTGCAGCGCAGCTCTATCACGTATAGTTGTACAATTTTTAATTTTACCACTTGCTTTACAATACAATCTGTATCTAATCAAATATCTCTAAGCAAATCTTTACAGTATGTTTTACTTGGCAAGATTTCTAAACTACGAGTATTATTATAGATACTAGTAACTCGGCCTGGTTTTACCTGACTGGGTCTATTAATGCGGCTTAATTTAAATTTAAGTTAATATTCAAAGACCATTTAATTTATTAGATTTTAGATTATCCAAAATATATCTCTTTTTTTCGGATAAAAGACTGTCTATGTCACTCCTGGCCTTGCTCTCTCTTTAATCGTGAAAGTTTCATCGTTTCTATATTACAGAGACACTTCAATCTTATTTACATACTAAGAGTTCCCCGCGTCTTCGTTCGCGTGGAGTTTCTTATGATTAGATTCCATGGGTTTTAGATTTTTGCTCGGAAAACTAATTCTATTATAAAAAAAGTATCATCTATCCACCAGTGAAAGCCCCGTCATAATCGGTCCAGACATTTCGGAGATAAGTCGAAATAAACAGATGGACAGACAGACAAAAATTTTGAAAATTGTTTCTGGTTATAAGTACCGTATTTACTTTCTTATGTATTTAGTAAAAACTGTTATTTTAACGAGAACTCGGGGCCATTTCTTTTCTTTGGTTCCTCATGGTGCGAAATATGGGGTAGTATATTTTATGCCGCTACCACGGCGTGGAGCCGAGCCGAGTGCTATCGGCTTGTCGCTCATTTAGCACCACCCGGGGGACAAGTGTAGGGTGGGCCTAGGAATAGGTGGTCAAAGCATACGGACGCGAGCGACTTATCCCCCCGAACGCGAGCGACTTATCCCCAAAAAATTTATTGAAAACGGGCCAAATTAGGAGTACCCTTAACCGACGAGCATGTATGCGTAGGTGTATGGATGTGAAGGAGGCGAGAGAGGTGTGTCAGGATCGTGCCAAATGGAAGTCTGTAGTCTCTGCCTACCCCTCTGGGTGACAGGCGTGAGTATTTATTTTTATGTATGTATGTTATTTTAACCTTACAAACAGACACTTTAATTTGAATTATTCGTATAGATATTATAATGGTAATAATTCTAACAGTTAAAATAGATAGTTTATAATTCTAATTCGTGTATAGAGTATTGAACCATCATAAAGATATTTGTTAATTTTTTTTAATTTTTTTTATTTTATTATTTATTTATTAATTATATTGTACAGAGCAACTATGCCCAGAAATTTTCTACGATTTTAAAGAGAAACGATGACATATATTGTACTAGCTTGCCAGGCAGACGTTGTTCTACCCTTTTCGACGACCCTGTCATGTTCTATAAAAATCCTTAAATTCGCAAAAAATAATTGTGGGTTACTCATGAGCAAAAAAAAAACTATCCTATCTCTCAAGTTGGACCAAACTGCACACCGGGCGGCAGGAAACAAGCTTCAGGACGCCGATAGTTTAGGTAATTTCTTTTTACAGTGAAAATAATGGTAATTTAAAAAAAATAAAAAACATAAGCACTGCTTTATAGTTCGTTCAGTTAGTATGCAAAATTTCATGATCTTATTTAAAGTATTTTTATGAATAACAGCGGTTAATTGTTCAATTTGGAGGTAACTTTGGAATTTTTTTTCTATCGAGAAAATTTTACAGAATCATGTTTTCGTCTAACGTAGTACTTAACATTAGTCCTCAACTTTACCATATATTTATTTCAAAATTAATGCTGCAATATTTTCGGCATAACGGAGGATCTTGCTAAGCCATTTGAGGTTATATTCCCCCTTAAGATTTATTCTGCAACACACTACGTATCTAGGAACTGATGGTTAGGATGATAATTTAAAATTTAAATAAATGTCCCGCTCTCTGCTGAAGAGATCCTGTAATCTCTCTTTGCACGGTTGAATTTTGATAAATTGATGGAATTTTAGATGCCACTTGCAACGGCATTCCACGATATCTTTATGTTTAGAGGCGTCTGTTAGTGACTTGTAACTTCTGAAAATTTTACCGTTTGATGACATATTCACACAATATATTTGATTTATTAAGAGTTAAGACGATGGTTACGCTATGTTAAAATCCGATATATGATTGGAAGTTTTATATTTAAACTGTAAAAACGTCTAGAGTGACTTCGGTATAAAACCTACCGGAAAGGGCATAACAACTTCCGAATAAACCACGGTGTTATATTACATATACATTTGAATTTTCGATATAAATCGTTCTATGGTATGGATTATAGATCTAATCTTATTTCATAACATGGGATTAGATCTATAATCCATGAACTAGTGAAAGCAACAAGTTGAGCGGTGAGTCACAAAGCTCTTCGTGTTAGGTTACTTATTACATGATACGGAGCGATAATCACAAAAAGTATATGTATCAATAAAATATCATTTAATCAATTAAGATACAACATTTCCTGCATTATAGACCGTTATGCAATAACAAAACAATGTCGCGACGCTACTGCTCTTCCGGACGTTTCATAAGACGCCCGGGCGTAGGGAATGCGCAACAAGTTTTTCTACGCATACAAACGTCATAATTCAACATTTCTTAGGAGGGTACTAATTGAAAGCAGTAGCCGTACAAGGAAGCAGTAGTTACGTTTTTGCCGGGTGTCATTACGCGTAACTGTAAGTGAGGGATTGACGGTAGTACTGACGCTCGGTGTCGATTGCCGCTTTGCTTCAGTGGAATTATGTGTTTGGTTTGCTTTGTATCAGATGATACTGGGTAAAAGGTTAAACGCAATAAATCCTTTTTTGTTATAAAATTTAAATATATATTTTTTTTGTAAAATGTAATGCGTAAGAAGGCTTTTATGGTGAAAAAAAACACCTCCAAAAAAAAAAACGTGGCCAGGGGAGAGCCAAAAACAACCCGATTAGATATAGGCGATTGTTATTAACAGTGTAGGGGCGGCGTCAGAATATCCACTACCCCATATCGTCTTTTGGGTCTCGTAAGAGGCGACAGAGGGAAGCTGAACGAGGATATGAGCAGTACCATCTTCCTAATAACAAGTCAAAATAATGAAATCTGCAGTATTCAACAATAGAATCATGCCCCATATGAGGAGGCAACCTACGGGGAGGCCTTGATCGGCAGTAGCCTTGGATAGGCTGTAATAACAATCATCCATCCATTTATCAATGGATGGATGATTGTTATTGAAACAATCGTATTATTAAATCGTTCCGTTTACTCGATTACAGTGAATCAAATCGGTGTTAGTCTATGGTTCCAGAGCATATATTAATAGGCTGCAAGGTCTATGATAAAAAATAATGTTTGCTTTTCGAACTCGTATGCACATGTATGTCGAACGCAACTATTAAAGGTGCGCAATTAATAGTAATGCCTCGTCGATTGGCGAGATTCGATTATTCAATTGTATAACAGTATCGACTAGAGATTGGAATCGACGATCGGTCTAGCTGATTGGACAAGTTCATATCGCGGAAGGTGGTCGAGTGATGTCTTATGTATGGAGTTGGTATTAACTAAGAACTGAAAGTCATTCATTGAATAAAATTAATTTTTTTATAGTTTTCACTAGCCAAAAACATTGATGATTTAATGAAACCAATGGGTAAGTTCGGGGGATTACGACACATCTTGTTGCTATGTATACTCGGTGCCAGTTGTTAAGTAATGATCTATGGATCTGAGATGTGGTCCTTCACGTAGTAGCCGTACAAGGAAGCTCAAAGTCACCCACAGTTGTTTGTACAAAATAAAATATAGTAGCACTTAGTAGTTACCCAATGACTAAAGCACTTATTATAACTATAAATAACATCATTAATTAAATCTAAGTTATTTAATTATTCTATTATGAAAACACGCAAGAAAACCAAACCATTAAAAACAACTACAACTTTATGGGTGTAAATACCGTAAGAAATTAATAACAATATTTTCTCAGTTTTGCTTATCTACCTTTTTGAGAGCCAAAAAGAGTCAGCGGGTGCCAAAATGATTTTTCGATGCGAACAGTGTTTCGCACACCTAGGGTTGCCAAGTCTTAAAATA